TGGCATTAAATGAGGAGGTTGGTGGCCCTGCGTGTGGCAGGGGGTTGGAGATTCATGGTCCTTGAGGTCCCTTCCAACCCTGTGATTCTGTGATTCTGTGATTCTGAATGAACAAACAAAAATAATGCCTGGAGCTTCTATTCCAGTTTTCCCCCTACATGGGATAAATGTGGACTAGCACATTTGCCACAACGTGGCAATTAAAATCAAGAAACAGGCAAATATTTGGGCAAGATCACACTATCAGCCAGGAAACGTAAGGAAGAATAAACTCTGCTGTTATCATGCAGAGGAGCAAAGTGTCACAGTCCCTATGGCTACGGCTCCTAGGGGTGGAAGAGGAGGGGTGTGTTGGTGAGCTGACACCTCTGTGTTTAGGGAAGTCAAAGTGTAGGTGTCTGCCGCTGCAGGAAGCGCAGCTCTGGGCCCTTCTGTGGCCCTTCTGACCTTCCTGCAACTCCGGGCTGCTTTTGTTCTTTTGTTATGGGGATCTTAACAATTCCACAGCAGGGGAGAAGGGAGGCTTTTCTTCCTGCATAGTACTGCGAGCCGAGCAGTCACGCAGTAAAGGTAACAGTCAAAACCTCTTAAACCAAAGCCACGTTTGTTTTTTTTCTGTGAGAAGTTTGCAGCCTTCCGGAATGAAAAGAGGAAGTCTCGGAGAAAGCAGTACATCGCCCATTAACCCTTGGCATTTTACACGGTATTTTTCTTCATGGTGCCCTGTGCTCTCAGCTTTGCTGCCACGGATCGTGCATTTCCACCTTTGCCTTGTCTGAAGGGCCCTACGAGCCTCGTGTTCTGCACTAGCAGGGAGATGCTCGTTGGCAAAGACTGCTACAGATGGAGGTGTTTCCTGCTGGTGGCAAAGCCCCGTGAGAACGAGCTCCCATGGAAGTCCAGATTTGCACCTGCGGTATAAAATACGTAAAATACCGCAGCCAACCTGGTAAATCAGTGCGTGCAGCAACAGCCGTACTGCAGCGGGGCTGCGAGACCGATCCTACGCATTTCACTTGGTTGGGGCAGAGAAAAGGTGCGATCTCACCGCGCAGGAGTCACGGAATTACGTAGATTAAGGGGTTAAAGAGCTCCCTTCTTCCCGAGGCGTTGCGGCGGTGGATCCGTGCCCGAGGCACGGGGCGCCGTGTGCCGGTGCTCCGCACGCAGCGCAGACGCGGGGCGGCCCGGCCGGCCCCAGGTGCCGCGCGTCAGCGGCGCGCAGCGTGCGGGGGGCGGCTGCTCGGAAAGCCCGGCGGGGGGCGGGCCGGCCCGAGGGAGCGGAGGGGAAGCGGACGGGAGGCGGCTGCCCGCAAAGCCCGGCGCGCGGATCGCGGGCCCGGCCCTAAGATGGCTGTTGTGCGCGGGGCGCCGCCGCCGTCGTAGAGCCGCGAGGAGCCGCCCGCCGCGCCCCGCCGCCATGGAGTGCCCGCACCTCGGCTCCAGCGTCTGCATCGCGCCCGACTCGGCCAAGTTCCCGCAGGGCTCGCCCTCCTCCTGGTGCTGCAGCGGTGAGTGCTCCGCGCGGCCTAACGCCGCTCCCGGCCCGAGGCGGCCCGGCCCGAGCGCGGCGGGGGGCGGCGGCCGAGAGCCTCTGCCGGGCAGCGCCGCTCCTTTGTTCCCCGCGGCCGCCGCCCCGCGCCCCCCGCCCGCCCCCCCCCCACAGACCGCGGGACCCCTCGGCGGGAGGCGCCGCTCGGGGCCCTCCCCGCGGGAGGTGGGAAGGAGGCGGCGGGCCGGGGGAGATCCCGTCCACGCGGCCGAGCGGCTGCCGCGTGTCCCGGCGGGCGGAGGGCGAGGGCTCGGCGGCTGCGCTCCCGGGCCGGGCCGGCTTTGTGCGGGGCGGAGCGCGGCCCTCGGCGGACTTTGTGTGCGCGCGGTGCCCGCGGCCCCTTGGGCCCGTGCCCCCCTTCCCACGGGCGCGGAGGAATGCGGGCCCGCGGCGCTTTTGTTCGCCCCGGGGGCTGCATGGCTCGGCGCGGTGCGTGCTGCTGCGCGGCTTTCGGGTACCCCAGATTACTTTTCATTCTTTTTAGTAGATGCGTTTGGAAGCGCTCTGCGGAGCGCGGCTGAAAGCGGCGTGCCGGGGCGTGGGACCCCCGACAGCCGAGGGGCGGCCGAAGCGGGGCTCAGTGCGGGCCGTGCGGAGCGCCCCGCGGGGCTCTTTGTTCGCCGCTTCCATAACGCGCAAAACCGCCCTCGCACCGGTCGTGCGAAGTTTCCGCGTCCCAGTGCTAGAAACGCAGCCTTCGGACGGACGGCTGCACTGACGGCCTCTGATTTCTGTGCGCTTCTGTCCGTCCCGGCGCGGTGCGGGTCGTTCCGCTCTCGGTGCGGAGGCGCGGCAGCCCGGCGCGTGTGCTCGCAGCTGGGTCTGCTCTCAGCGGCGGCACCGCACTGCTGTGTGTGCGGCAGCGCGGAGCCCTGCGGGTGGAAGTGACGGATGGAGGGACGCGTTGGCTATGTTTTAAGGTTGTTCCCGTTTTTAAGGAAAGGTGGCTCTCCTTTGTCCAGCAGGATCTGTGCTGTAGCGTGGGAAGCGTGCTGCCGAAGTTCTCTCCCGCGGTGGCAGCTTCCTGGAGCCGAGGTGTGGTGCTGCTGCTTCCTGTGGCAGAACCAGCGGTGTCACTGCAGTGCTGTGGTTACAGGGGGAGCACGATAATCCCCGCGAGTGGTCTGAAGGAAAGAAGGAGTGCAGGGAAACTTGTTTTTTTTTGTTGTTGTTGTGTTTCTTTATTAGAGAGTTCTTTGCGAGACGCCCAACTCAGTAATTCCATCTGCTGTCTTCAGGCTGTTGGGTGAGCAAAGGCGTCATCCAGAACACGTGGCAGTAGGGAACCACCCTGCGGAGAGCTTCAAGTAGATTAACTAAAAAAACATGTCCTCGGCTATTCGTAGAGCTTCTCAGCTTCAAAAATAGGCCAGTTTGCAGGTACGGGGTCCTGCTGGGCACGCTCCCAAGTGGAGAAAGGTCAGCAGTCAGAACAGTGTTTTCTCTGTCAGTCGGAGGTGTTTGCGGTTTGCCGCTGTCTGGGGGCAGGAGGAGCTGGGCTCACTGGGAACCAAGCAGATCTGTAATGATGCTGTACCTCAAGGAGTGCCTCCCGTCACTGTGCTTCTAATGAAATCCATTGAATTAAGGAGTTGCACAGAGCTTGCATGGAGAACTACTAGGTAAGAAGGAATGTAGGTACTGAATCTCAAGCATTGTAATGGGCAAACAGCAGGCTGCTGTCAGCTTCATGCAGTCGAAAATGATTGTTTTCAGAAATGAGTTTTGTGTTCTTATTCATCTGGTAAAATGCAGTGCATTCCTTCTGAGCTACAGCTGCTGCTGTATGTTGTTAGGTTTGCTCCCTAGAAGTATAGAGTGCTCTCTGTTTCTTGTCTGTGCTTGTTTCAGTGAGATCAGTTTGGAGAGATACGTGATACTGGTTTCTGTCTGTTCACAATAAATGCAACTTCTTACTCACTGCAACTTGGTAACGTACAATTAAATAAAGTGACATAAATATCTTGTAAAAATGCAATGCATTTCCCATTGCCTTTCATGCTGTTTTCCAAGGTTCTGTGGACTCGATTCTCTTTGTTGATGTTGTTGCTTCAGCTGCAGAAAAATGTTTAAAGGTAATTTTGTGCAGTGTGTAATTATACAGCGTCCGACACCTCGCGCGTTGCCTCAGAATGACTCAGACCTCGCGGCCCGTCCTCTTGTGAGTCCTGCTGACCTTTCCAGAAAAGGAGCGCGAGTGCAGATAGGATGCAGGAAGCATGGCTGGCTGGTCACTGGTAGCGAGGCATTGCCCATGGCTGGGAGGGTGAGTTCACGCTTCAGACAAACAGTGGCTATTTTTTGTCACTATCTCGACTGTGATGTGAGGGCCTGGGATTGTCACACGGAGCGAGTGACAGATGTTTGTGATTCACCTCTTCCTCTCCTCTGTGAATGCTCTTGATTGCAACAGTACTGCACAGGGTAATGGGAATGTGCTTCTGAGTCTTGTGAAGGTGTGTGATTGTACTGTGGAATGGTGCTGCATTGGAAGCTGGTATTTGGAAGCCAGCTTTACTAAGGTTAGGGAATTGAGAAGCATGTTCACCAGCCTGAATTACTCTTTTGGCCTAAGTCAGTGCCCTGAGAAGCTACCTGCAGCATAGCTAAGGAGGCTCTGAGGAAGCAGCAAGGGCAGGCACTGATGGCAGGTGTGCTGCTCAAGTATGAATCTTTTTGCTCCAGGTTAAAGAGCAGCAGTCTGTGCTCAATTTGAAGTGTCTTCAGAGCTGCTGTTACCAGTGTGTAGTTGGAGTTTTAAGCACTTCTTTGAAAGAAGGCCTGTTTTCCTGAGTGTTCAGTCCTGTCAGGGCTGCTCTGCACAGCAGTACAGAAAGCAGCGTGCATTTGCTCTGGGAGCTTTAAGGCTGTCAAGAGCACAGAACACATCTTTGAAGATCCAGAGGTAAGGCTGCTGTTGCTGCTGCTGTAATTGGGCATTTAAGAGGAGACAAAACTCATATATGGACTAGAGATGGTACAGAAACTGAAAATGGCTTTAAATTAGTGCAGTGACGTGCAGCGTGCAGATGTCTGCTCATTCCACTCACCTCCACTTCTGAGACTAATGCCGAAGTTGGAAGCAGAGTAGCTGGAGGCATTGGCAGGAGTGCTGTGCAGCATCACAGCTGGTGTGATGTGCCACACCTTCGGCGCTGTTGTGCGAATCATGCAGCTATGAGAAGCACTCTGGAACAGTTCGGATGTGGTGTTGCCCAACAACTTCTGATAGGCTCATGGAAACCACAGGGAGCTGTGCCTCACCTAAGCAAGACTGCAGTCTTTTAAACACACTTGTGCAAGTCTGAAGGGTTTTGTCAGCTTCTTTCTGCATGCTCGAGCTGAACGCATCGGTTGGTTGATGTAGAGTTGAAGTTATTTAGAAAAACTGTGATAGAAGGATAGAATTATGTCTGCTGAGACTGAGATCCAGTGAATTAGTTTTACAGGAGAATTGCACTTGTGGAGCATATTTAAAACTTTTTTTTTTTTTCAGTAGTGTAATTTTGTTAGCTATCGAAGAGCAGTTCTGGCTGCAGAGTGGTATTTCCTGCTGCACTGAAAGGTCCTTGCCTGACATCTGTTTCTTGCATTCTAATTTCTGTTGAATGAGAGCTGTAATTTTGCAGTAGGTCAGAAACATACGTTGTGGCATTTGGAAATGACACTGGGACTAGAAAAACTATGGAGGAGAGCACGTACAAGGGAGCAGATTGATTAGCATAGAACTCTGCATGCTGAATTGCAACATTTTTCTTTTTTTTTTAAGGTAATTTTTAAAATGTGTTGTTTTTTTTTTTTAAATCAGAATTACCCCACATGTCACTGAACACTTGATTTATGTGAGTACAATTGTTTTGGGCTGAGTAAGAGAGCCCACCACTGTTGTGGCCTTTGGATGATGTCTCCAGCTAAATGAGTTACACTGCTTGCTTTGTGTTGGGGTTTGCTGGAGTGTTCTGCCAGGCTGTTGGACTGCTGTTATCAGGGCCATAAGAAAAGCACCACAAAAGCACAGGTATGCAGACTTCAGCCATCACTGGTTCTCTTTCCATCCCAGTTCCTTCTTAGTGCTTCTTCACCATCTCTGTGAGCTTTTGTCTTTTTCCTTTTTGTTACTCGAGATCCTCGTTTCCTCTTCCATTCTGAGCAGAAGATGGGAAGAAAGAGAACTTGCTGAATGTGGAAGGGGTGGGTAGAACTTTGTTCCTGCAGCATGCAGACTCAGGATAAGCTTGTGGATGTAATGGTCTGTGTATGAAGGTGATTTTCTCATCTTTCCTATGTCTGGAAAATGAGTTTGACCTGGAAAAGACCACACTTGATTTTTTTTTTTTTTAACCCCTTTTGTTCAGTCATGTTCTGAGGTTGAATAGTCTTTCATCCATTTCTTTGGGTTAATGCAATGCAGGAATGCTTCTTAGTTATTTTTCAGACTTTATAGGCTGTTATATCTCCTTAAGCTCATTCCCTGGCTGTTTTCAAGTAAAGCTTATTAGCTTTGGCTTGTATTGTTCTAGACTCAGTCTTGTTTTCATTAAAACTGTGAACATTTTTCTTCCATTTGAATCTGTTGCTTATGTATGGAACAATAGCTATCATAATCTGTATGATAGATCACAGTGCTGTGGGACAGGTTTTTTAGGAAGATTTATGTTTATTGAGGTGGGGGTCAGAGTCTTGGTTTCAGTCTCATAGGCTGGACCTTGTTTTCCTCTCCAATATGAAAAGAGGAGTGTTTGATTTCAAACACTTGGCATTTTTAAAAGCACATTTGAGGAAAAAAAAAAAAAAAAAAAAAAAACAATGTGAATTGATGTTTCATTTTTTTTCTACGCTTTCTTTTCAAAAGTTTCTTTTATTCTACTCAACAAAATCACAATCAAAACTTGAATGTTAGCTGATGAGAGAGACTGCTCCAGAGAAAGGCAGTATCCAAACGTCTAATCCATTGCCTTTGTTTAGAAACTAATTCTAATCTTCACGAGGATCTTGATGCTAAATTTTGAAGGACAGATTTTACTCTGAGGATTCCAAATTAACTCTTCCAAGTGCTACACATTAATTCAGATCTCACCACAGCTGGTTTAAGTGTAATCAGGACAATAATGTTCACCTGCCTCTCCTAATCCCTTCAAGATGGTTTAAAAAAAAAAAATAAAATGCAAAAAGCAAACAGAAAACAAAACAAGGCAAGAACTGACCCAGAGCATTATTGTTGCTCCATTTTTCTGATAGTCAGGCATAGGGCTGCAAGGTGCTGAGGCCAATAGAATAGTGAATTTCTTGTTGTTGCATCTGTGCCTGAGGTTTGTAGTGAAAGTTTCAGACGTTGTTTGGAGGGAAATGAAGCTTTGAGCCATTTCTCACTTGGTCTGCGCTGCTTTTAGTAACCTGTTCCTGCATCACTTTCTGTTTGGTTGGTAATAAATGTCTTTCGGGTAGCTCAGAGTGGTTAAAGGCCATGCAGAATGATGGCAGTCCATGGAGGTTAGAAAGTGCAGCTGCTTCAGAAATTCAGAAAACTAGCTGAGGCTTTTCTGATAGGTGTGTTGAGATTATCAGAGGAAACAGTTGTTCTTGTGGAGTGAATCTGAACAACATCAGGTCCAATACTGCTTTATGGTATCCTTGTTACTCGGACCACACAAACTTTTGCCCTCCATTTCCTTGATTATAAGAGGGTGTTTTGAGGCGTAGCTGACATGGTAAATGCACTTCACGTTCAGCAACCTCTGCTGGTGTGCCAAAGCAATGCTTTTTTTTTCCTCCTTTGGAATATTTGTTTGGTTTTGGATCTTGAAAATGTAGCTATGAAATTCCTTTGACAGATTTGATTACAGACTTGAATCCAGTCCCACTAACCACAGGCAGCCTGCCCAGATAAGATAATTCTTCCCAAAGTTGGGCTTTTCCCCCTCGCAGTGTTGCAACAGCCAGCTGTTTCACTTGGGAGCAGAGAGGTGCTGGGCCTGGGGCCTCATCAGAACCAAATGGGCAGGCATTGATTTATTTTGTAAGGTGGGTTCTATGTACCATTTAGAATCCAGTCTGAGTGCAGTGAGTCCATGTCAGAATACGACTGTGTATTCTCAGAACTGCTGCGGCCCTTTTGGACTTATTTGCCTGTGTTTGGTTTGTAAAGTTTCCAGTTGGTAATATTCTGCCCACTGGGCGTTTTTACCCCCCGAGGGATGGTTAGAAATGAGTCTTTTGCATAGTATGGGGGAAATAGGAATTGAATGCCAGTGCTACAAGTGAGTAAATTCATAACGAGATCAGCTAAGGAAAGCAAGAGGCCTTCTTGCTGTGTCCCCTTTTTCCCCTCCTGCTCCCAGCCTGACTCGTTTGGCCTGAGATTGATTGCTGACTGATTCAAGAAGATTCTTTTCCTCAAGGGTTTGAAAATTACATTATACTTCTGGCTTTGCTGTGCTTTTCCTGGCAGCTGTCTGAGAATGACTGTTAGTGTAATTCATTTCTGTCTTGCTCTAACATAAAGATTGAATCTTTTTTTTTTGCGTGTTACTGCTATAATACAGAGCAGTATCTGTTTTCCTGTGAAGGCTAGTGTTCAATTTTCACACATATAAGTGTATATATGTGTGTCTGTATTTAAATG